CTTTTCTATTGGAGGGGAAAAAAGAATAAAAAATAAACTAGCTACGTCAGGTTGTAGAAACAAGTTTTCCGAAGAGAATGTGATTCTTGTTCCTGACATCTCACACAATGTTCTTGAAATGCGAATCTTTTAAAAAAAGGCTAAGACAAAAAGAGAAATTTGCACGATCACCCTGTAGACATACACGGTTTGTTGTTGCAGGACTTGGCTTCTCGAGGAAACTGACGGGACATCACCGAGCGACGTTATCACCCTCTGGCTAGAGGAACCGACTTTTCACGGTATAATCGTCTACAGCGTCGTGATTCCGATACTATGTCTGCTGGGAATAGTTGGCAACGCTTTAATTCTCCGCGTCCTCTGCGGCGAGGGAAATTTCAAGGCGTCCGTGTTCACGTATCTGACAGGTCAGCTCAAGTTCCGAGCCGTTTAAGAGCTCAATACCGCCCCTTCTCTGTGTTTCGTTTCCGGTGGAAAATTGTTTCCCCATCGCGGTGTAGTTATTTTCTTTTTCGGAGCTTGTATACGGCCGATGAGACGTCGTTGTGTCGGTTTTATTCGAAACACGATGCTTCAACTCGGCTAACTTCTATTAAAAGTTACGGGCCGGGGGCGATGCGTTCGATTCCTTGCCGAGGATTTAGGTTCGCGAGAAATAAAAGCAGGAAAATTTGAGTTCTACAGGAAGGGACGGGGACAATAAAAATTGCCGCCGTAAGAAAGAACTGTACGAAGTGTGTTAAATTGAAGCGATAATTATAATTGTTTTTTAAATTACGGATTATTTTAAAGAAGGTTTGCTATTGTTATTTAGGAATGAAGAGTTAGGAAGGAGGATGTTGACCGTGAAACAACAAAGTCCGATGCATCTCACTATTATATAAAGAGACAGTGTTTGTTTGTATGCACAGAACAATTTCAAAAACTATTTATTTGATTGGCACCAAATTGTTACAGTAGCTTCCTTGCTTTCTCTGGTATAACATAGGCTATGTTATTTTAAGAAAAATGATATCACATCCGCCTAAAAGTATACGTAAGAATATGTTGAACGCTGAGCGCTCGGAGTCTATACCCGAATAATACCGTACAGTAGTACAATCAAGGAGATTATACCGTTACTAGTCATACCTGCTGGCTGACTTCTCGTCTCTGCATAGTAATTGGGCCAAATTGATCGTCCTGGAAGCTTTATAGTTAAGTAATGAAAGTAGGAAGGTGGATAAACAATGATCAACTATTTTGCAGTTCTAGCTGCTGCTGATCTCGTCACCTGCATCATGATTTTTTTTTCCGGGTTGGCCAAAGGCGCCTTCTGGTGCGAAACAGGATGGATAGAGTTCGACGTGTTCGTTCATTTGCCTGTCGGTTCAGTTTCGTCGAACGTCACCGTTTGGGCCACTATACTCGCCACTATTGACAGACTCGCGATTGTTCTGAGGTGACCTAAAAAGACATTATTGTTAGTATCACGATTAGAATATCATTGTCTCCATATACCAATACCAATACCATTATTCATATAATATCCTATGAATATAATTGTTCGATTACACTATACAGATACCATTATCGAATGTCTTTATTTGAACATTGTTCTGCGAACATCACTATTGGAATAACATTCTATGAATAACATTATACGAATAATATTCTATGAATATCGTTATTCGAATATAGTTCAATGAATATCATTATTCGTATAATATCCTTCGAAAATAATTATTCGATTGCATTATAAAAATACCATTATTTGAATGTCTCAATTTAAACAGTATCATTCAAATACGAAAGTATTCGCATGTTACCATCGTACCTGTGACTATTGTCGAACCAGACTATGTGAATCCCAGAAATATCCAGATACTCCAACGATGAAACCGCTTTTCTCCCTTGGAAACCTCTCTAATACTACCCGAAACCTACCCCTAAATTACATTAAATATAATTTACTTACTTACATCAGTCCATTTCCCTCACTCGAACGAACGCAGCTTTCGCAGGGTCTAATAATAATCCACGCGAACGTCCCTCTCAGTTTCCACGAAGTAACGATTTGCAACTAGTTTTTCTGCAACGTCTACCAAAGTTATAATTGCCGACGAACTCCGTTCTAAGTGGCGACCGCCGGTGTCCTTTCGTTCTCCTCTCCTTGATAGTTAACCAGACCGAGCGATGGCCCGACGAAGTTTAACTAGATCTACTCATCCGATCGACAGCTTGCCGAGATGCAAACCACCAAAGTTCTGTGACTATCGGCTGGCACGGAAGTTGATGATTTTCTCTGGTTGTTTCGCCATCGTGTTCAACGTCCCCTACTGTCTAATATACACGTACAGCGAGGACGGTGCTCTAATTACTACCAAATTCTTTCATTCGTGGTAAGTGAGTCGTCGCATTCACGGTTAGGTAAGTAAACGTAGAATTTCAGAAAATTATTCGTGACATCGATAATCGAATCACGGTACTTGATTTTTCTAAATTCAATACGGTGAAATAGGGGTGAATGGAAACTTTAAAGTGTTGTGTTTCGGTGGTTAATCTGTATTATTTGCAATTGTAATATAGTTCATAAAGCTGCAGTTCATTCACCCCATTTCACTCTATTCAACCATTGAATAATTTTTCTACTCTATTCCCCCACTTTGCAAAGCAATTATTCCAACAATTTTCCTTCTCCGTAACTCAATCACGTCCTGCCACCGCGCTGGCAGCAGCGGCAGCGTATTTTTATGATACTTTCGGAAGTCTTTCCGCGGTTTAAAACGAATGCTTGCGGGGCAAACGTCGCTCGTGCTCTCTCCAGTATTCCTGTCGTCGATTCAATTTCATCCGGAAGCACGGCGGAATAAAAAACGAAAGCCGAGTTTGCAGGTTGTACGATCTTCAGAATTGGCTGCAGTTCGCGATGTTCGGCGTGATACCGGCCATTCTGTTGCTGGTGGGTAACCTGATCATGTGCCACTCCGTCAAGAAGACTCTGATGCAGAGGCAGCTGGTGCTTCTTCGTAGAAATCTGCGGGAAGGGAATCGTTTGAAGGTGGGTGGACTGCAAACCAGTTAGAAATTGTTGGACAAAACATGGCGGAATTCGCTGATTAATCGTTTGTCACAAGGTAACAATCTCCGTCTTTCTACAAATCCTTTCCTCGTTTTTCCAGCATCTCTTGATCCCTGTATCTCCGATCCCTAAAAATAAATAAATATCAATCGGCTTGGCACTCGGTGCCTACACCATTACGGAACGCGAATATATAGCACTTATCGCGGAAATGGCCTCTTTTACTGCATAGTATGCTCGTTCCTCAGGATCAAGCGCGGATGACTGTCATGCTAGTTGGCATCGTGTTCGTGTTCTTCGTGGGCGAGCTGCCAACTCATTTGGTGTCGCGACGCAGCGCCCTGTCTCTTCTTTACGGCGGAGACCCAACGAAGGTTCAGGAGGTCCTCATGGACAGGTAAGCATCTGCTGTATTGACTCTGCACATCTGCGTCAACCGCATTTTTCTTTTTCTTTTAAACGACAACTTATGCCCTGGTCCTGACAGAAATAAGACACCTACGTTATAAAAAGGTCGCAGCACCATTGAAGATAATTATTTTCTCGCCAAATCTGACACTTACCATCAGAATTTTCGCGGTAGACTGTTATCCATGTTTGCATCGATTTGAAAAATTTCGCGCCGTAGGGTCAAGGGTGGAAACCATCTCGGACGATGAATTCTTAAATGCAAGAAAACTAACAAAATTCTGCCGCTGTGCAGGAGATTCTTAGAGACTCTAACAATTTCAAGAGTACGATTCGTTTTCATTTTCAAGAACAGCCCTTTAGTAAGGACCCATGGACGGATTTAAATCCGCAGTTTATTCGATCTGTAAAGCATAAACGATCAAAAACTAACATCGAGTATTTACGAGCGGGGAAAGATGATCGACCAACTCCGCCAGCAAGTTTGTAAATCGGTGGACGTCGTATAGAATCGATTCAATGGGGAATACTGATATTACCCGACAGAGTAAACACTCAACAACGTTCAAGATAAATATCGTCAATAATGGCCGTATGTTTGCACAGGCTTCGAATGTACGCGACCCTTCTCAATGCGGTATCGAGTTCGGCCAACTTCGTCCTATACTGCACGCTGAATCGACATTTTCTTTCGCGTCTGAAACATCTTTTCATCGCCGAACCCTCTCGGAGGTTGGCTGCCAACGTCAGGGGAAGGGTTCCATACTTGATACGACGAATCGAATCCAGCAACGTCGCTCCTGGCTCCGTTGAATGCGCGCCAAACGAACATATGTGATTACAGTGCAAGTATTTCCACCGTTTTTGTGTCCAGCATTTTTAAACGATTCCGATACCTTCCGAAGAAAATGTTACGTTATGGGATGTATATAGTCGTTGAATATACGTGTAAATATTTATTTAAAATGTCTGTATAATATTTATATAATAATATTGTAATATGGTATGAATATTATTATTATTATTGTTTAGTTCGAAAGTCTGTATCAAGAGCTTTTATATATCATGAACTTATTAAGGTCATTTTGATGCAGACTTTTAAAAGAAATAATATATATTAGTAGATAATTATTATACATGTTTTATACATTAGAATATAATTAAGTTATTCATCGATAGAGACTCTTTGAGTAAATAATATGCACATGGTATCTAACGCATTCATTGTTATATAAATATTATGTAGAAAAATGTAATTAAGCTCTCTATTGTGGCAGACTTTTTGAATAAATAATAATATTACTATATGCATGTATTCGACGAATATCTCACAAAATTTTATTCTGAAAATGTTGACATGTTATACTGATATATAATATATATCGATCATTATTCTATTAATATTACCTATGGAAATATATTAAGCTCTCTCACGATACAGACTTTTTAAATAACTGATTAAATACAGCTGCAGTAAATTCTATTTTGTGTGATTGGAAATCCGTTGCACTTTGAACTATAATAAAATGACTCTAAAGCTAATCGTTCCATAGGTGAATCTTGCGTTTGTCTATTGCTCTATCGTAATTCTTCATGGGATCCTTGCTGACGGCCGCGGAGACGAATAACTTCGAGGCTGGTGGCAGACGTTCTTTCCTTGCCTCCAGTCTCTTGCGAGTGAGGAGCTCACATGCAAAGTAATAAATAAATTCGATGAAGGATATCACCGAGCCACCAAGACAGAGGCCAAAGATTCCTCCGAAGGAGGCTGGAATTTGACAACAAAATTATTTTTATAAGTGACAATTCGTTCGTCAAGGAATTAAGAATACGTTCTAGCGTGAACTTACAAAAACAGGCTTCGTTAAGAATTATAAAAGAAAAAGAGATAAGTCATTCAATAACAACTGATTTTCTATTTAACGATACATATCTGGAAATATAATAAAAAAACTTTGTTGGTGTTGCTTTAATTAAAAACATTCTGAAATTTGTTACATCGTATTCTTAAAACGTACTGCTTCTACAATGGGTTCTGTAATGAGTACAGGACAATATGAAAAATTTTAATGCAAAAATAAAAGAAATAAATAAAAAATGAAAATAAATATAATATAATGGGATATAATAAGATAACTTTTTTGATTAAAATTTTATACTAGAATTTCCATTTCAACTAATTTAAAACTGTCACGGCCTCGTAATACTGAGAACCGTTTCGTGCTGTTTAACGTGACATCGTTTCTTACTTAAGAAGTAACGGATTTCAAGATCTACTCTCTGCGTTTGACGGAACTACCCTATTTCAGCTGCCACGCCACGAAACTTCCCAAGCACGTTAAAAGTTTCGTAACGAAATCAGAGCGATTTTATTTCGTTCCCCAACCTGTTCCACCCTTATTAGCTGCTTATGTCGCGGCAGGGAAACGGTACGAAACGTGTAGATATCCTTTGGCGAAAGTTTCCCTTACCGAGCAGACCGTCCCACCCCATGATGGTTTGCTTGCGGTATTCGAGATACGTGCCGTCTCGAAAATACACGTAGAGAAACGAGGTGGTCTTTGCATTCAAACCGTGCCTGCAAAGGAACACATGTGTAACGTTTCTTTTGCTCGTAAATCCGAAGGGGAGAAACATATACATTGGTTCGTTTTAATGGAATTTATATATCAGGATATTTGAGAATATCATAGAGTCCATTGAAAATTAATAATTTATGTTTCGGACATCTCAGAAGTTTTATGTTGGATTTGGGTACTTGGTAATTCGTATTTTGGATATTCGAGATTTTCATAGAGTCTGTTAAAATTAAGTAATATATAATTGATCATTCATAAATTATCAAATTCAACCTGAACCAACTCATGTAAACGTATCTCTTTTCGCAAAAACAGAAGAAGATACGGGTAGAACAAATCATTCGAGGTTTACTGGAAGAATATCATGCATTTGAAACAGATCGTCCCAACGTAGAAGGAATATCTGACCGTAGATTACCATATCGTGATAAATCTCCACCTTTACCTGGGCTTGATACATCGTACGCGAAAGGAAAAATATTCAACGAAACGTGACGTGTTGTTTATAAAATACAAGCAACGTGAATAAACGCTGTATGCTTGTTAATATTACGTCAGTTTTTTAAAACTATTATAATGAATTGGAAAGGAAATACTAATATTTTGTATTCAGTTATTTTAACATCTTATATGACTCGTTAAATTTTCATGCAATTGTGTTATTATTACAGATGCAAAAATTAACAAGAAATTTCATTTAGAAATAGTTCAAGTTTATATATTTTACTTCTCTCTCTCTCTCTCTCTCTCTCTAAGTCTTTAAGTTCGACTATAGACACATAATCTAATTTTTTAAAAATACAACAAGACACACAACTTACGTTATCTGGGAATCAAACTCTATATCATCTGTCTGGATCGATTCACTTATTACCTCGTACGATTGGTCGTTGCATTGCGGGAGACATTTGCAGTCGTTGATGTGCGATATCTTGATATTCGACAAGCTCCCTGTTTCAAAGTTTAACCATTCGAGATAACGCAAGGCTCGTATTGCAGAAAAATATGTTAGAAAATTTCAAACTAAACCTATCAGTACTTTGTATCTGATCAAACGATCTGTCGTAGGTCAAACAGAATTTTCAAAATTTTTTTCAGAATTCACACGAAAAGAGTTCACGTAGAGAATTCACATAGAGAATTCATGTAATGAATTCATACAAAGAATTTTTTATACGCGTACGTATAATGGGCACAATACAAAATCGACACAGTAAGGGTAAGTAAACAACTTTCAATGGATGAGCGCGTAAATCATGCAGCGTATTTCTATTTGCAAAAGCGTAATGAGAATATTTATTATTCACTTACTTCTGCGAGCCAGAATGCAATCCACATCCGTCAAGTAACAGGTGCGGACATTCGGATCTAACAACAGACTGGACAAATGTTTGTAACGAGGCAAGAAATAATTAATGATCGTTAGTCGAATTACAATTAACTATTCGATATTTTCTTTAGCCGGGTATAATTCAACACTTCTACACGTAGCTAGACTATGTATATTGGATAATACAGTATACACGCATTACTCACGGTCACCTGGATAGAAAAAGGGTAGACATCCGCAAAAGCCAAAAGTATTTTGATGGATACACTCGGAGATGCACGTCTGGTAACTGTATCTGTGTTCACCTGGTTTCTACAAATTTTATAGAAAGCATGTTACATTTTCTGTGCTTTAGATCGAAATAAATGA